TTGGATGTCTGAAACAGAAACCAGATGTGTGGCGCTGGCGCCAATAATGTGGTTATAATTGTATATTTAAAGTACATTAACTTATATGTGTATAGATAGATAGATAGATAAACAGACAGATAGATTGATATATAGATTGATTGATATAAGAGAGTGATAGAACGAGAGGGATGGATTGTATTGGGTTTGTCTGATGCAGAGAGCAATGGAGAGAGAGAGTGAGGGGAAAGAACGGACGAGGGAGGAGAAAGAGGGGCAAGAGGAATAGAAAAGAGAGGAGGCTAAAAAGATACAAGTTTTAAGAGATATGTTTGCCTGGGCCTGGTATTTGTCTTTTCATCATGGTAAAACAAATGTTTGATTGTGTTTGGATGTCTGAAACAGAAACCAGATGTGTGGCGCTGGCGCCAATAATGTGGTTATAATTGTATATTTAAAGTACATTAACTTATATGTGTATAGATAGATAGATAAATTGACTGATAGACAGAACGAGAAATATTGCATTGGGTTTGCCTTTGTATAGATAGATAGATAGATAAACAGACAGATAGATTGATATATAGATTGATTGATATAAGAGAGTGATAGAACGAGAGGGATGGATTGTATTGGGTTTGTATAGATAGATAGATAGATAGATAGATAGATAGGGCTTGCCTTTGTATGGCAATATAAACATTGTATGTCATTGTGTGTGTTTGTATAGCTTGTACAGTGTGAATTGTGCACACAGCTGTGTCTCTTGTTTATGTCTCCTCCCGCATAGAAAGGAAGAGGCCCAAAGGACAGCTGGTCATGTACATGCTCATGGGGAAAAAAACACTTTTTTCCCCTTGCTAGATTTTAGATAAGATGAGAATTACTACAGGAACTGGACAATATGTCGGTTTGGTGGGAACGCACTTTACATAACGATCTTCCTATATCACTTTGTGTTGGTCTTTGTGCTTTGTCTTAATGAATGAAAAACAAATCTTTGGCAGGCCTCCGGAGTGCTCAGGCTTAGAAGCTCATTATTAAATTACAAAGAATTTGATTGTTTACATGAGCAAATTGGGCTTTCGAGAGCTGTCTTAAGTCTGTAGCCGGATTGTTCTGTTGTTGAAATAAACAGAATTATCTTATTTGAACATTTACAGGCGATGTTTAAAGGTGCATACAACAGCAAACGCTACATGCATATAATTAGCTCTTAATTGTATGTGTGTATTCTAAATACATTATATCTGTGTAAGAACTTACTCAGGAACAATTTAAAGCAGCGGCTCTGAACCGCTTAAGCAGAAACTGCCATTACAGCTAATGTATCATAATTAACGTCAAGTGCTCGCCTTCCAATCGCAGCCTTATCAGCTGCTCTAAAAGCATATTTCAAACTAAAAAGAGGAAGAATATATGAGAAGTCAGCCATGTAAAGTGCTGGGAAACGAGGCCCAATGAATTTTAACAATCTCGACTGAGAACAAAATGTGAGTGTTTTCAGGGTCAGTTTCATGGTGTTTCTCTGGATGTTTATCACATGAGTTGTAACTTCAGGTAGGCTTGTCGACCTTGCCTGCCAGCTGCTGAAATTGGCAAGTGTCCACGTTGGTTTTTGGTGCACCCTTGTGGCTAAAACGAGCCACTGCAGCTAGTCAGGGAACATGCATCTATTGTTCATAATCCTCTTTGGTTTAGCCCAGACACGTGATGTTTTCATCTGTCTGGTAACATGTGGCCTGCGACATGTGACAGACTATTTTTTCTTGACTTGTCTTTCTCAACAGGGGCTCAAACTGTACCACCTGACCCTTCTCCGAGCCCCTCCTGCCCACCTCCACCTGTGGTGCCACCCACCAACGTGGCTGATGGCATGGTGAACTTTGATCCTGACCCCGCTGACCTCGCCCTATCCAGTGTGCCAGGCCAGGAGGCGTTTGACCCGCGCAGGCATCACTTCACAGAGGAAGAGCTGAAACCTCAGCCCATGATCAAGAAGGCCCGCAAAATGCTGGTGCCAAATGATCAGAAGGTGCTACAGATAATTTTATTTTTAGAGATTGTTTTCCAAATTTCTTATCATGCTGCTGGCAAGCGTCTATGAATAATCAATTAAATAAATCAATGAAAATGTAATATTATAAAAATCTCTTAAGGATAATATACAGTTTTAGTCAGCATCATAAGAGTCCATCTTATAAAGAAGGTCAACTGTATTGTTGTTAACATTGTAACTATATGGTTCTGTCCTTGAATATGCTGCCATTATTATGATTATGAAATATTATGATAGAGAGATAGATTGTTTTGCAAATTCCAGAAAAACTTAATTGTTTTATCATGCTACTGGCAAGACGTCTACGAATAATCAGTTAAAATTAAGTATTATAAAAATCTCTTAAAAAGTCCATCTTCTAAAAAACGTCAAGCCTATACTTATTAACATTGTAACCATTCTGTGCTTGAATAAGCCGCTATTATTGTGAATATTATATATTATAATAAAGTATGTACCAATATTACCATTCTGGCTGATATTTAAATTTACATGAAGCCAGTAATTATTAATAATATTATGGTAAATAACAGATAAATGGCCAGTGTTAATATTCTACACCTTTTGGTGTAAAGTAAAAATGAAACACACACACACACACAAAAAACCCACACAAAATCAATGGTATTAAATGCTACAATTGAATTTAAGCATCACAACTTTAAAATGTACAGTATGAAAATTGATATTAATTTTATGAGGATTACATTTAACAGTGTAATTATTAAACTACTTATTTTTTGTAAAGATTAACTTAAAGTGAGCATCAAATGATGCTAAAGCTAGTCTAAATGTAAAAATTGGTAGAAATTAGCACGCACAATGTTTAATAACCCATATGGTACTCAATGTTCCTGTGGCTCAGTGGTAGAGCATTGTGTTAGCAGTGCAAAGGTTGTGAGTTCAATTCCCAGGGAACACACATACTGATAAAAAATGTATAGCCTGAATGCACTGTAAGTTGCTTTGGATAAAAGTGTCTGATAAATGCATATATTTAATTTAATTTATATATCATGTATCCGTAATTATGATCTGACCCTTTTCCCTTTTTTCACCTCCAAAGGATGACAGGTACTGGAACCGACGCTTCAAGAACAACGAAGCAGCAAAACGTTCTCGTGATGCCCGCCGACTGAAGGAGAACCAGATTTCAGTCCGAGCAGCATTCCTGGAACAGGAGAACGCCACCCTTCGCCAGGAAGTCGCCGATATGCGAAAAGAGTTGGGCCGCTGTCGCAACATCATCAGCAAATACGAGAACCGCCATGGAGACTGATGAAGAGGAGAAAGGAAGAACAGAAGGAAGAGAAAGACACAATTACTGAATCTCTCTCTCTCTCTCTCTCTCTCTCTCTCTCTCCCTCCCTCCCTCCCGCTCTCTCACACGTTGGGGCCATGTGCAGTAGACTTGTCACGTGCTGATGCAGAGAGCAATGGAGAGAGAGACTGAGGGGAAAGAACGGACAGGGGCGGAAAAGGAGGGGCAAGAGGCATAGAAAGAGAAAGCTAAAAAGATATACGTTTTAAAAGATATGTATGCATATGCCTGGTATTTGTCTTTTCTTCTTTGTAAAACAAATGTTTGATTGTGTTTGGATGTCTGAAACAGAAACCAGATGTGTGGCGCTGGCGCCAATAATGTGGTTATAATTGTATATTTAAAGTACATTAACGTGTGTAGATAGATAGATAGATAAAACGAGAGAGATAGACTGCATTGGGTTTGCCTTTGTATAGATAGACAGATAGATAGATAGTATCAGAGAGAGACAGAGAGATAAAATTAGGTTTGCCTTTGCATATATAGACAAATAGATAGATAGATATACAGACAGACAGACAGATGTATAGGTAGAACAATAGATAGAATGATAAAACTAGATAGATAGATAGATAGATAGCATTTGGTTTGTCTTTGTATAAAACAATAGAATGATATATAGAATCATTGAACGATAAAAAGAACGATAGAATGATAGAGAGATAGCATTTGGTTTGTTTTTGTATAAAATAATGGAATGATATATATATATATGATAGAACAATAGATAGATGGGCTTGCCTTTGTATGGCAGTATAAACACTGTATGTCATTGTGTGTGTTTGTATAGCTTGTACAGTGTGAATTGTGCACACAGCTGTGTCTCTTGTTTATGTCTCCTCCCGCATAGAAAGGAAGAGGCCCAAAGGACAGCTGGTCATGTACATGCTCATGGGGAAAAAAACACTTTTTTCCCCTTGCTAGATTTTAGATAAGATGAGAATTACTACAGGAACTGGACAATATGTCGGTTTGGTGGGAGCACGCTTTATGTAACAATCTTCCTATATCACTTTGTGTTGGTCTTTGTGCGTTGTCTTAATGAATGAAAAACAAATCTTTGGCAGGCCTCCGGAGTGCTCAGGCTTAGAAGCTCATTATTAAATTACAAAGAATTTGATTATGTTTACATGACAATTTGCTTTCGAGAGCTGTTTTAAGTGTGAAGCCGGATTGTTCTGTTATAAAGTCTGAAATAAACAGAATTATCTTATTTCAACATTTATAGCCAGGCGATGTTTAAAGGTGCATACCACAGCAAATGCTACTCGCATATAATTAGCCCTTAATAATATGTGTGTATCCCAAAATACATTATATCTGTGTAAGAAGGTACTCTGGAACAATTTAAAGCAGCGGCTCAGAACCACTAAAGCAGAAACTGCCATTACAGCTAATGTATCATAATTAACGTCAAGTGCTCGCCTTCCAATCGCAGCCTTATCAGCTGCTCTAAAAGCATATTTCAAACTAAAAAGAGGAAGAATATATGAGAAGTCAGCCATGTAAAGTGCTGGGAAACGAGGCCCAATGAATTTTAACAATCTCGACTGAGAACAAAATGTGAGTGTTTTCAGGGTCAGTTTCATGGTGTTTCTCTGGATGTTTATCACATGAGTTGTAACTTCAGGTAGGCTTGTCGACCTTGCCTGCCAGCTGCTGAAATTGGCAAGTGTCCACGTTGGTTTTTGGTGCACCCTTGTGGCTAAAACGAGCCACTGCAGCTAGTCAGGGAACATGCATCTATTGTTCATAATCCTCTTTGGTTTAGCCCAGACACGTGATGTTTTCATCTGTCTGGTAACATGTGGCCTGCGACATGTGACAGACTATTTTTTCTTGACTTGTCTTTCTCAACAGGGGCTCAAACTGTACCACCTGACCCTTCTCCGAGCCCCTCCTGCCCACCTCCACCTGTGGTGCCACCCACCAACGTGGCTGATGGCATGGTGAACTTTGATCCTGACCCCGCTGACCTCGCCCTATCCAGTGTGCCAGGCCAGGAGGCGTTTGACCCGCGCAGGCATCACTTCACAGAGGAAGAGCTGAAACCTCAGCCCATGATCAAGAAGGCCCGCAAAATGCTGGTGCCAAATGATCAGAAGGTGCTACAGATAATTTTATTTTTAGAGATTGTTTTCCAAATTTCTTATCATGCTGCTGGCAAGCGTCTATGAATAATCAATTAAATAAATCAATGAAAATGTAATATTATAAAAATCTCTTAAGGATAATATACAGTTTTAGTCAGCATCATAAGAGTCCATCTTATAAAGAAGGTCAACTGTATTGTTGTTAACATTGTAACTATATGGTTCTGTCCTTGAATATGCTGCCATTATTATGATTATGAAATATTATGATAGAGAGATAGATTGTTTTGCAAATTCCAGAAAAACTTAATTGTTTTATCATGCTACTGGCAAGACGTCTACGAATAATCAGTTAAAATTAAGTATTATAAAAATCTCTTAAAAAGTCCATCTTCTAAAAAACGTCAAGCCTATACTTATTAACATTGTAACCATTCTGTGCTTGAATAAGCCGCTATTATTGTGAATATTATATATTATAATAAAGTATGTACCAATATTACCATTCTGGCTGATATTTAAATTTACATGAAGCCAGTAATTATTAATAATATTATGGTAAATAACAGATAAATGGCCAGTGTTAATATTCTACACCTTTTGGTGTAAAGTAAAAATGAAACACACACACACACACAAAAAACCCACACAAAATCAATGGTATTAAATGCTACAATTGAATTTAAGCATCACAACTTTAAAATGTACAGTATGAAAATTGATATTAATTTTATGAGGATTACATTTAACAGTGTAATTATTAAACTACTTATTTTTTGTAAAGATTAACTTAAAGTGAGCATCAAATGATGCTAAAGCTAGTCTAAATGTAAAAATTGGTAGAAATTAGCACGCACAATGTTTAATAACCCATATGGTACTCAATGTTCCTGTGGCTCAGTGGTAGAGCATTGTGTTAGCAGTGCAAAGGTTGTGAGTTCAATTCCCAGGGAACACACATACTGATAAAAAATGTATAGCCTGAATGCACTGTAAGTTGCTTTGGATAAAAGTGTCTGATAAATGCATATATTTAATTTAATTTATATATCATGTATCCGTAATTATGATCTGACCCTTTTCCCTTTTTTCACCTCCAAAGGATGACAGGTACTGGAACCGACGCTTCAAGAACAACGAAGCAGCAAAACGTTCTCGTGATGCCCGCCGACTGAAGGAGAACCAGATTTCAGTCCGAGCAGCATTCCTGGAACAGGAGAACGCCACCCTTCGCCAGGAAGTCGCCGATATGCGAAAAGAGTTGGGCCGCTGTCGCAACATCATCAGCAAATACGAGAACCGCCATGGAGACTGATGAAGAGGAGAAAGGAAGAACAGAAGGAAGAGAAAGACACAATTACTGAATTTTTAAAAAAGCGTTTCAAGGGCTGTTCAACTCATCCTGGAATGGCATTTTCTTGTAGCGTTTGCTTCAAATAAGCACTACGATACTCTGTTCACTAATTTACATTTCTTTCCGTACGTGCAGGGATCGGTTGGATTAGCTGGTGTGGTGCTTGGTTGAAACAGATACTTGAAAAACGTGGTTCAAAGTTGAACAGTCTCAGCATGAGGGATGTGCACAAGGTCTACCTGTACTGTAAGCACAAGCACATTTCATAAGCTTCGGCTCTTCTCCTACGATACCACCACAAACCTTGACTGAGGATGTGCAATCCAAACTCTCATAAATACTCACGGATCATAAAGGCAGATCATTTATAACATCATGTAGCCCTTGTGAACATCCTCTTTCTATACGGGATGATTTTCTCAGAGAGAGAACTATACAGGAGGTGGTAGAGATGTAATTTTTTTCTATGATAAAAAAACACCTTGTATATTTTTTAACTGTTAGGGTCAGCTGTAATAGAGTAGATGAAGAGGCAGAGGGGGGGAATGAGGATGGCGGCGAGAGCACAAAGAGATTTTGACATAGGAAAACTGTATATTTTTATACTTGCAGAAGCAGGCAGGCGATGAGATTTTGGAAATAATCTTTTTTGTATATTTTATATATGGGTGGGAGGGTGCGGGTAGCTGGACCGAAAGAGGGCTATATGACGAATGGATCGGTATCATAAAATGATATATTTTCAACATCCAGAGCAGTAAGGCAGGTCAGGAAGAACAAGACTAAAGGGACGGACGTCATTAAGAGTTATGAAAGGAAACGGAGCTGATAAGAAACAGAGAAAATAGCGAACATGAACACTGTATAGTTTCAAATTTTTCATCATGGGTTTGTTCAAGCACTTGTTTTGGTATCTTTGATTCCTTTTCTTAAAATTATGTGTGTGTGTTCGTTTTATCTTGAGGTGAGAGAGAGATGGAGAAAGAGAGAGAGAAAGATGGCATTACATCCTGTCACTATGTCTCGGGAGTTGTGAAATCTGTACAAGATTTTTCAGTGTATATATTTAAATATTAAAGCAAATACGTCCACATGCTCTCTTTTTAACACTCTTTTTAACACAAACTGGACATGGGTTTTCATGGCCATTATGATATATATATGCACAGACACTCTTTGAAGATGTGAACAACAGAACTGTTAAACACAGCAATATCGTTTCTCTTTCTTTCTCTCTTCCTCGAGCTTTTGACATTGTGATCGGTGCTGGTTTGGCATTTCTCACCCAGGTTGAGTCGGCAGCGAATGGGTTGCATGCTGGCGCATGTTTGCGTATTTTTTCGCCACAAGAAAAAACACTCTTAATTTTTACGACTCATTTTATATGGTGCTCACCCAGTCTCTTGACCCAGACGCACATAACCCAACAGTTATACCCTGTTTGCCTATAACCTTTGCTCTTGTATGATTTCTTATGATTATCGATCATTGTATGAGGGATCATATATATGTATAGACCTACATGAGTATATCTATACATTTCCTCAAAATTAACACCCCCCTCCCCCCAAAAAAACCCATGCACCCTAATACTACTGTACCATATGAAGTACAATATTATATATTAAATATTAAACTATTCTCTCACTAGATATATGTGTGTACTTGAGTATATGCTTGAATATGTGACTTTAGATGTAATTTGCATAACTTGAATATATAAATGTAGTATCTTTCCGATAAAAAAGACAGATCTGATTTCTTAACTGTTTTCTCAGGTGTCTGGGATGACTATAAAAAAAAAAAATTTTTAAACCACGCCATGCTGATCAGCAATACTGTGGCTTTTTTGATTGATTGTTGTCCAATTTTTTGGAGCCAGCTAATGGTGGCTGTATAATTCCACGGAAATGAATAGTGCACTATCAACTATTTTTGGAGGAAGATTCTGTTATAAAAAAAACAAAAACAAAGGAAAAGGAAAAAAACTGCTGGATATATAACTTTATTACTTTACAGATAGGAATTAAATGTCTTTTCCTTTTGAACTTTGTTGCTCTATTATTACGATTGCTTGCATTATCATTGCTGTTGTTATGATTATAATTCTCACATTTCGTTTCAGCGTTTTCTTGCAACAACTTACTTTTTGATGGAAATGTATTGCTCTCTTCCCTCCCTTGTAACTGCAAGACCATCTTGAATTACTCAGTCGAGCCCATTCACTGTTGGAACCATCCACCGAGACAAGGCCTCAAGTGCAATGGGGGGGGGCCGTAATCTAGTCCTTGTGTGTATGAATTTGATATAACCTGAAACAAACAAATAGTAGACTGACTGTTCCTTTCCTTTGACAGAACTTCTTCTTCTACCACCTTTGACTCGCTACTTTTTGATGCCATGTCAAAGACGTACAGTTTGTTTAAAAGAAGCTTAAAGCAAGTGAAGGTTGAAACCTTAAAGAGCTTAAAAACTTTTGACAGTGCTATTTTTCTATGTAACTGTGTGCACATACTCTTTCATGGGCATTGGTAGCCCGTCGTCACTTTAGCGGTGACGGCGCAGTGCTAAATGTTATTGCGGGTATTGTATTCATCATTTTATCCCTTTCCACATGTGGATTATGAACAGCTCCCTGTTTGTGACTGTTATGAACTATGAATCTCATGAGTGCACCACTACCAAACATCACTTGGTAATGTCTACTGTTCCTGCCTATAGGGATGCTGGGAAATGTGGTCTGGCTCCCCCCCCCACCCCCCAAAACACCAATAAATAATTACCCCTGTTCAATGACAATTAATTCCTTGTGCTGTAAATACACATTTATTTCAGAATTGATGGTTGAAAGCAAAGTCATTTGTAAATAGACCATTTTGAATGAATGCTTTGGAATCTGATCAGAGGCTGATTTTTATAAACCACTGGTAGACCAGACCAGAACATTATGCCAAACTCTGACTCACAATCTGAATGATGATAGAAGTGAAGTAGCAGCTCAGCCCTTGCTTTTGCATTTTGTTTACTCTGTGCTATTGTCAGTCTCTAAGCTAATTGAATAAAGGTTAACAGCAGCTGTGTCACACACCCCATCAGCCAACTATCCAAACCAGTTTCAGGCATGCAAAAGGCTCTTTTAGCCTGCTTGCATGCCATCTGTTTGGCCTTGCACATTGAATGCTTATGTCAACGTGTGACTATTATGCTCCTAAGTCTTCTCATAGAAATATCTAAACTGTAGGTGAAAGTTTGAAACTGCTCTAATCCAAAAGGCTCCAAAAGTTCACAAAGTACAACCTTTCTCATTCTTCGTCTCTGAGAAGCATTCAAATATAGCATCCATTCTCCCAAGTGGCCTTCAACAGACTGAAAGTGAAAAGCTTGAAATTGAAATGTCTTCACGTACTGAAAAGTCTCACTGTGACTCTGTCTGATTTGACAGAGTCTCTGTATGAAAAATGATGTCTGTACAAAATTTTAAAGGTGTATTGAAAACAGTCTAGACTTGGTATTTAATCACCAACTCAAATTAAGGTTTATTATTGTGGCTCTGTTCTACAGAAAACAAAATGTATTTCTCCAGCACGAACATTTAGCATTTGACAGGCAACATTAAACAGTAAATGGAAATACAAAACGAACAAAAAAAAAAAAACATTACCAGGAGTGGGCAACAATAAATGGGACATTAATATGAAATGTAGTGCTTGGTATAGTACATTATTGCAGTGTTGAAGGGAGAATTATTACACTGAGGTACTGCAATTTCATACACATATACAGGCCTTTCAGCACCTAGTAGACTTTTCAGGTGGGAAGTTGGGGGAGGCGATGAGTCAGTGCTATTGAGCAGCTAGATGGTTTGAGGAAAAAGCTTTCGCTGGATCTGGTGGTTGTGGTGTTATGCGGATAAAAATTAGTGTTTTGGTAGGCTAACATAAGACGACTAAAAGTAGTAAACAAGGACAAGCTCATGCTGGTCTGCCAAGGGGCTGTAGTGGTCAGCTCGTGCTGTATTCGCCAAGATGCCAGGGGCTGTAGTTGTCAGCTTATTTATTATATATGAACCAACAGCTCTGCTTCTCATCTTATTTTGGCAGTCTCGAGCCTCAGGCCAGAGGCTTTGGAGGGCCCTGACAGTCTGAGGCCCCGGGTCTCAAGCTCCATAATCCAGGCCTGGCTATACATGCTTCATAACATGCCAAAAGCCTTTATGTTTGATTACAGTGATATCCCAGAACAGGCTGATCCTGAAAAGCGTCTGCCTACCTGTAGATGGTAGTGAAGATCAAGCCTCTTGTGCTGATGTTTTGAATAACCTTATGGAGAAAAGATGTAGGCGGTTCTCCATTGAGGTGTATGAGGTCTATTTAAGTTTCTTTATGGTGCGAGTACAAAATCATTAAAAAAGACAGAGTATTAAAGAGATAGTTTGTCCAAAAGTGAACATTCATCATTTTGTGGAACATTTAAGAAATGCCTTTGTTTTAGAATGTTAGTGGCCACCAAAATGGTTTGGTCAAAGTCCCTTTAAGGTATTCTATAGACTTTGGTTTGGTTACTAATACCTACATTCTTCAAAATATATTCTGTTGTGTTTCACAGAAAAGAGGTTTGGAAAAACACTAGGGTGAGTAAATGATGACAGATTATGGGTGAACTATCCCTTTAAATAGCACATTTTAGTAAACAGAAATCGTTTTTATTGTTAATTTGAAAACAATATATTGCAACAAAACTTTTGTTGCGAATATAACTACACACATGACCTCACGTAAGTCTGACATAAAATATATTTGTAGGTTTGGAAACTAATAAAACAGTTCTCGCACGTGAACACGCACTCCCGCCGAAACTGACGGAATACCATTTTATAAGATAAAGTGAAATATCACTGATAAATCCTTGTCTGTCAATGGAGATTCATTCTGAGAATCATTTTCTCTAACAATATTTCAGCAATCGTGTGTTCTCTGTCAGTTGTTAAGAATCGGACGATATTCGCGAATGAATCACTCTTTTGATTCAGTCTGTCAAACTGAACGGTCGGTCTGAAATTATTCACGATTCAGTTCGATTCATTCGGTCAGTCCATTTACACACTGAATAGTTTCAAGAGGTTTTTCCACATCGAACAGGATACTTTATGAGACAAAAAGCAAAAAGGGCGCCGGATTAGGTGGATTTTAAATTAATTTAATGAAACAAAACTCTTCTGAGAAAAATCTTCTGTCGTTTGTCAGCAAAGGACATCTTATTACACATGCAGCTTCGGAACGACTCTACAGCAGGTAAAGACAATGTATATACATATATCTATTACTGCATTAAAAAGAGTATCAAAATATTGGGACACAGTAATAAAGGATTATTGGCAACCAGTGTTATTCGATTCACGAATAGAGCCTTAATGAATCAATTCATTAAAGAGAACGACTCTTGCACCAGCTCTTTTTCATGAGTTGCTCAAAAAGACTGTGAATCGGACTTCACCGTTCACGCCGTGTTTTTTGTGCAACGTTGAGGAGAAGATTCAGAGAGCCTATTTATTGTCTTTTTTTTTTATTTCACTGCATGCAGTCTTTCTCTTTCAACATGTTAAATCAAACTGCAAGCTCAAAACTAATTTCTTTTGCCGTGGCGCTGTAGATTCAGTAGCAGTAAGTTGTCAGAGTATTTGACCGACATTGGCTAAAGAACATAGGCATTCAAGAACTATTCATGTCATCAAAACCATTGGTTCCACTACAGTTTTGAGGAAGAACTGGTTCTAAATTACTCACCCTCGCTGTATGTAATGTGCAGGCTTGACAGATGATGGTTTTGACTTGCAGTGAAAAGTCTAAACAACTCCAATGGACCTAAAGAGAACATATTTTCACACAGAAGGCCAAATCAAAACAGCATGAATATTTTTATTATTGGCAGATGATTGTGAACATATATACAATGTGTGGAAGCTTAAATGATTGTATGTGTGCTTTTGTATGTACGGGTTCTTGAGAGACAGGAATGAGTGAGAGGTCCTATTCATTAGAAATGTCTTATGTGCATTGCCTCAATAGAAACCATATGTGAGACCTTCCAATACCCTTCCTGCAGTCTATATAAGTCTACTTATTCATTTTCACCCTGCCTCCCTCTCTTTCTGTTACTTCATCACTCTTTCTATCTCACACCTCATCCTAGTTCTCTGCCTCTAATTCCTGTCTCCTTAGCAGCTGCTTGGTAACAGTGGGCTGTTAGGACCCCACGGTCATTCCAAGAGAGCTCAGACAAAGACAATGCTATGGTTGCCTTCAAAGTTGTTTCAGAGTGTGACTAACCGACTATGATTGTGTCATAGTGTCTGCTTGAAACCATCCAATTTTCAATATTGTAGCAGATAATCTCTCAAGTGACATGGATTAGCCCCATATTAGCCAGTATTTCTATTATTTCAGTCTGAATATCCTTAGAAGCAGGGATGGAAATTCACTTTTTCACTCACCAGCCAATTTGGCTACTAAATTTTTAAGTTACTGACCATTCATAACTTCTACTAGCCCAGAAATAAAAACCCAGAAATAAACCAACAGCTTGAGGCTGTCTACATTGAACGTGACAAAGCGACCGCTGCAAATCATTTTGTGTCAGAACTAGGGGTGTGCGATATTGGCAAAAAAATAATATCTCAATATTTTCTGGAATTTTATCGATAAAGATAATTAGACCATATTTTGCTGAGTGTGTTATTGTGCTGATATCTTAAGGACTACCGTGGAGAGCTGACTCCTAAAGTTTTTGATATATTTCATATTTTGTGTGGTCAGTTCACAGCAGTGATAGAAATTAATCTTTTACAATAAGTTTAAATAGATTTTTACCTTTTATGTGCATTTGACCTTTTATAAAGACATTTTTTCTAAAAGTGTGCATCATCTTTTGAGACAAATTCTTACATTTAATCAGTAAATTATAATA